GTATTCCATAAGACCACTTAGAGGCTGACTGGGTGGTATTTCTGTACTATGCTGGACCACCACTCACGGACTATGATGACTAAAGCACAAAGGGATCTTACTCATTCTTGCTGTTGATTTCCTTTTAATAATTTATGGAACTTGGTTTACATATTGCACTGTTTCCAAAGCACTGTTCCTTAGGGCTTCCCAATACGCATTACCCCCCCCCCCCCACATTCTACTCTTACCACACCCAGTTTCCAGTCACTGGGGTGGTGGATAAAGGTAATTCCTTTAGATTGTTTGAGTGAATACCTCCACTTTTGGAGAAGAGGGCAAAGTTGGGGGCCGTGGATGTTTTTTCTCCTAGATGTCGGTAGGAGAAGCACCAGCCTACGTGGGAGACTACTCGTAATACTGGTTCAGATTTGAAGCTCATCTATCTGGTTGGGTTGAGCATAGCCCTTCTTTTTGATCAATTTCAGTTTAGTACATTGTTCATGGAAGAAGGTCCATTGTCTCTTCATAATTATGAAAGCAGAGTGGTGCCATCCTGGGTCCTTGATTAAGCACAATTTGTTCCACCTCCTCGTGTAGAGACAAGATGAATTTACCTTGCCCACTTAGTTGGGGAGTGATGGTGTTTTTCATAATTCAAGACCGGATGAGTTCTGTTTTTTCAGGTTGAGTATGGCATACAGGATCCCATCATCCCGAGTTTGGGGTGTTGCCTTTCAGAGTTCTTCAGGCTTAGGAGAAGGTTTGTCCATTTCGGTGTTTCTTACCTTCTATTACTCTATGGCTACAGATTGGGATCCACTCACAAGTATATATATGTTGTGGTCCAACTGCCCTTGCCACTAATGTGGGATATAGGAGACCTTGGCTCTATAGTACCAACCCTGAGCAGTGGAACCTTGGCTATTTGGTTGAGGCCTGGCCAATGGTGATGACAGATCATGTAAAATTCCACCTGCAGTTCATGAATTATGTTCTAGGGGAAGAGCATAGCTGTTCTGGATGTAGTGCAGTATCCACACTAGGGTGCTAATCTTCTATTGGCATGCCCATGATCTATGCAGACACTTTTTGCATGGATAATGCCCTCACTGGCCCCTCCACCTTCTCAATGTGGTAATCTAGCTATAGCATGAATGGAGGTTAGTATGTTTTGGAAGTTAACATTTTCTTTAATTGAAAATATATTTTGAATAATACTTACCTACTATCACACTTTCCCTCCCTTCCTCCCCACTAAGAGCCAATGTTAGAGAATGCAAAATGGATCATTCTCGGAAAAGTGGTAATATTATCTGAATGAGTTGCTTATATACAGTACCAGGATAGAGGGTGTAGGTGGAAAATGTCACGTACCAGATATCTTCAAGTAAGTGGGGGAATAAAAGACTGGGGCAAGTGAGAAAAAATTCAGACCAATGCTTAGATGGGCAAAGCAAGGAAACCCTAGCAGTTGAGTAATAGGAGGTAAGTATTTTTGGAAATACATTTTTGATTTAACAAAATGTTATCTTTTCAGCCTGACATAATATATATAGAGATTGGGGTCTAATTTATGAATTACTTTGTAAAATAGTACATAATGATTAGTTGTTCCAACACATTTTCTGATCTTCACTGTTTCAGAGGTTTAGATAGACATTAAAGTCACATACAATAGTAATGTAGTCAGTTGTATAATAATTTACTGACAACAGGTCCTACATGTGTGCATAAATATAATTGTTGATATGAACCAATATGTACCTTGATCAGTGAATCACTTGTCTAACATTTCTGGTGTATAATGGTTGTGTTTGCTTATAAACTTAAAACAAACCAATTTTTTTTCAACAGTTCTATAAGTTTCTGTATTGTGTTCACTGTTGTGAAATATCAGTTTTTATAATAATAAACTTTGGTAAAAACCAGTGTAAAATGTCATTAGAAATATATTGCAGATGTTGTTCAACTATAATAAGTTCTGTGTTCAAAAGAGATATTCATGAAATTATTTTAATTGGAAAATCTAAAATATGTGCTCTTACTGGCAGTTATTTTTCACTTAAATTTCTTCAATTGACTCTACCCAAATACTATTGAATATAGCAATTAACATTGTAACACCGTTGAATCAGTTGATTCTCTTTAGAACATTTACCCTGAAATGGTTAATGCCTATGTCAGTTACTGTGTATGTTCATATCTCCAGTTGCCAAAAAGTGAATTATCTTGAACATGACATTGCTAGGTAATGAATTCTTAAAATGTTTTACATCTAGTAGTAGAGTAACCAACAAGCACTTTAAATAATTTGACATAATATACTTTTGAGCTTTCAATTTTCTCATATTCCTGTCATAACTTATTTAACAAATTTTGTTCTGTGAAATGAAAGTATTATTTGATTATTGATAAGTCGTAAGTTCATGACCATAATGTATAAAAGGAGAGTATTCTAAATTAGAAATACAGTGAAGAAATCTACCACTTTTTATTAATATTTTATCATGTTTGTAATATTAAATTTGAGAATATAATTTCAAAAAACGTACATTAGTATACTTGATAAGATAACTGCCTGGAATGGTTGGACTCAGTTTGAGGCAGTCCAGTGCCTAATTTTGATGCTGGACACTGTACTGAGTACTTGGACAAGGAGCAAGAGAGTGACTGGGATACAGTTGTAGCCAAGTTTGCTGCCAATTTCACCCTTTGGAGAATCAGGCAATCAATTTAGCCAAGTTTGAGTCTCAGAAGAGGACCATGGTTGGGAGTCTGACTGCTTATGTGAATGATCTATGCTAATTGCAGTGTAAGACTTATCCTGTAATGATTTCAGCAGATTGAGAGGACATCCTTGGGACAAGGTTATCAAGAGACTTCTTGGCAAAGCCATGAGGCTTCACTTGGGTGTGTTGGACATCCTCACTTTAACAGAGGCATTTTTCATCATGACCTAATATGAAGTGGTAACTTTGAGATAGTCATTAGAGAGGAATAAGCTGGTAGGGACAGTTGTAGACGGACCAACCTAGGGATACTTCAGCATGTCAAGATAGAGTTGTATCAAGAGTTAACCAACTGCCCAAGCATCCTAGTTGTATGAATGAGCAGGACTATCCATGTCCACAGCCTATGCTGAAAATATCTCTCCCTGGATGTCAACCAGGTTAGAAAGAGTAAAGCTATATAATGTAATATATACTATTGAATAAATAGAATGAATATATACTATTGAATAAAAAAAATTCATTATGAAAGCAATAGTACATATGCAACAGCAGTAGTAAAATGTTTGTCAGTGTGCGTATAATGTAACATTTATCATTATGATAACAGTGCACTTGTAGTACATATTCAACAGTAATAGTAAACACATTTATCAGTGTGTATAATGTGATGTTTTGCATCATAATAACAGTAGTATATGTTCAACTACAATAGTAAACACATTTGTCAGCATGTGTATAATGTAATGTTTCTCATTACGAAAGAATAGTAGTAAGCACTGTGGACATGTTATAAAAAATGACAGTTATTCCTTTGTTTGGTTCAAAAAACCAGACAAACTATTGCGGCAGGGGGTGCTTGCTGACTGGCTGCTCTCCCTTTGTTGAGTAGTTCAAACTTAGGGAAAGCTGTGCCTAAAAACAATAGGCCTCTGATCTGGCAGTTTAATTCATTTATGAGAACATGAAATACAAATTCCACTGTGTCCTTGCTGCTTTATGGTGTTATACTTTTTTAGAGACAAAAGTATAAACTTACTGTTCATTTTTCTCTGTTGTTAACATAACTGGGGAGTCTTATTGTTATTATGTAATGCTGAAGAGGTAATCAAAGTATGTTGTGTTAGATTCTTGTGCACTTTTTGATTGAATCTCATTGAATTTTGAAAGTTTGTGTATCTAGCTGCTTTTCTTTGCCGTATGAACCCATATAGAAATAACTCTGAAAATGTTTTCAATGGTGCTAAGAATGTGTTTTTTGAAACCAACCAAACATTTCTTTTAGAAGTTGCAAATTTAAGTATGACTGCAATGTATTAGCAGATAATTTCCTTGTTACTTTTCACATTGGTTTGATCATTATACCTTGCCATTACTTGTATTTTATTATAAAAATACAAAATAGTGATTTTGAAAATGTAATCTTTTAGTATATATGTCTGGTTTGTACTTACATGTGGACTGAAAGTATCCCAATGTTGCTTCTTTTGTGTAATAAATTATGACTTTTTAATACTTAAAGTTACCAAGCTTACTTTATTTTTCCTATTGCATATTTAATTTAATGGCAGTGGTATAGTTATATTTGTGAAACATGAATTATTTTGCATTATTTATCCTTTTTGGCTTATGCTGTTTAATTGATTAATAAATAACTGCTTATAAATCATATTGCATAAAAACAGACTATATATATATTAAATCAAATTAAAGATGAAGAAACTTGATGTGTAATCCAAAATTATGAAATATATTGGGGTTCACATCTGTTCTTAATTGTTTAAAATGTGTTTAGTTTTAATTATCAAAAATGTTTTTTCTATACAAGGCCTTTTGTAGTAAATAATTTGAAATAATTGAATTGAAAATTACCTGTCCTGAATTATATGTTCTCTCTTGTTAAAAAAATCTTCATTTCCACACATTTTTAAAATAAGTAACACAAAAGCAGATTTACTGAATCTGGTTATACATAAAACAGTCATATAAATTAATTTTGCAAGCACACTAACTTGCTGGTTTAAGGAAGTTTAGCATTATGGCTGTGTTATGTTGAATTTTTTTCAGCTTGTAATAGATTCTCTTTAATATGTTTTTGGAAACAAAGTATTGACTACAGTAAATGTGTCCCAAGTTTTAGTTCATGTGGTTTCAGACATTCCATGTATAGTCAATGTTTTTTCTTTTGAAGAAATTATATTCTTCTTTAGTTCATTACCTGGCATGAAGTATTGTGTTTTCTATTCTGTTGAAAATTTATTAAGTAAATAAAATATTTATTCCTTCTAGCCACTTCTTTCAGAAGTTTCAAAAGAAATAGCTGAAGTGTCACGAAAGATTTACACTATTGGTTCTGAAAAAGAAAATGTTAAAACAAGTATAGAAGCTAATGAAAATCGAATAAAAGGTTTGTAACAAATTCAATAGTTTCATTTTAATGATTATTAAGAATACATTGAAGTTAATATTTTATGTGACTTCCTTATTTTTAGTGTTTTATGTTTAAACCCAAAGAACTTTGTTGGTTTCAAAATACAATTATTATAATTGTATAATATTAATTTTATGCTTTATACTCTTCTTTTTGACTCCTCAGTTATCTTTGGTTTTTCAGTTTATATCTAGGGTGTTGATGACACTGTTAGGAGTATTAAATGTGTGGTATTCCTTGTAATGCAAGTAACATAACTGATGTAATGAACCAGGAACAAAAGATTCGGCAAAATGAAAAACTCCATACTAACTTTACAGTTCTATCACAGAACAATGAATCATTAGCTCTGTTTTTACATCATCACGTTTATAAAAATAAGCACCAGGTTTCTCTCTCTTTCTCTTTGATCTATTTATGTTTAGAACTAATTATTAGACCATTATTCTTTGTTTTAAAATTTGTGTAGAAATTCTTTTTTCCCCTCTATGAAACTTTTATACTGTGATATTAAAAATATTATATGATCATTATTTCTGTTTCAAATTCTTGATTTTTTACCTTGTTTAAATAACTTACCAAGGCAGTACTATATGTCCTTTATTTCTTTTAATTGTGTATCAAGAAATATAGATTAATCAATAAAAAATAACATTATTTATATGATTACTAGAAATCTCTTTCATCTTGCTGTTAAAAATATCAATGAATATTTATTTTTTCTTAAACATTATTCTTGAATTTTTCTGGGTAAATTTATAATAATAAATTTTAAACCAACAGATGGATTATCATTATGGTAATCAGAGTTTAGCATATACATCTTTCACAGAAATTAAGCAATATTAGATTAACAGTGTTGCTTGTGTTAGTTGTGAAATGCTCAGATAATTTCTTTTTGTTATCAGCAGGTGAAATGATCCCTTGGGACGATGAAAAGTTTTATATTTTACAAATATTAGGAAAGGTTACTTGAAACTTTGTATTTCCAGTTCTACTTTTTTATTTAACTTTGTGTTTATGACAAAGTTAGGTCTCTAAAAAAAGAAGAGGTAAACAACCTTTAAATAGATCAATGTTATTATCAACAAGCACTTTGGTATTATGATGATGTTTTTTATTTCTATATTGCTCTAAAAATTATATCAACTAGATGCATTTATAAGTTTTCATGTTTCTGTGAAGTCCAGTTTCACATGGCATGATTTTCTCATTTTTTGTTTTGCAGTGAAATAGGTTGTTACTTTTCTCTCTTTCTCTTTTGTTTGTCTTTTTGTAACCAATTGTAATTTACATCTTTGTGTCATATCTGTTCTATTATTTAATAGAATGGATAGGAAAAGGTTTACACATCTTGATGTTTTAGATGATTGACAGAGACTATCTGGGATGTTAACAGTTTCAGAGTTTGATTCATACAATACTCCTTCTTCAGCAGGTTGAAAGGAAACCTATTTGAATGAATGTTTTCCCTTATCTTAACCCACCTCTCAAATCTGGATGTTGTCATGTCCTGCAACTTTCTTTGAAAGAATATATATGTCTTTGAAATCCAGAATTACAAACCTTGATTAACAGAAATAATGCCACTTATATAAAACTATAGACCATGCTACTAAGCAGTACCTTTTTAAAATTAGTGATAAATAGTTTGATTGTGTAAAGTTGCAGTTTTGTTGCAATTTCATAATTTAAATGATAACTATGAAATGGTTCTTTTTGCCAACATTGCAAGCATTTTGCTATACTTGAGCAGGTTGTCTTTTTTGTCAATGGTTTTAATTTAGTAGGTTAAGATTAGGGCTCAACTTTATGTATACCAATATGTCTTGATAAAAGTATAAGTTGAAACAATGAACAATATAAAAAACAAAAAAACTGGTATTGTTAGTAGTGGTTTATTTTCAATAAAACTGAACAGTAATATACTTCATTCATTAGTAACATTTAGTACTGTAGTAATTTCAGTTAGTCTCTTATTCTTAAATTAGAATTATTTAACCTACATGATATTACATTCTAAATTCTACTTATTTTTACTTTTCAAAATAATATTGGTGGTTTTTCAACATCTCTAGCCTCTACTCCTTTTCATAACATGTAAACTATCTTAGCTAGTTTCAAATGCATATTTTTTTATTCTTGAAAAGCTTCATGGTAATAAATGTTATTTTGTTCCATACTGTTTTGGGCTGAGCATGGTCTAGTGGTTAGTATATTAGACTGCTAATCGGAATATACAAGATTCATAACTACAGTATTCAATGATGAGAAACCCACTTTGAGACTAATAATGCTTGTAGATGGCTTGAATGGGTAATGAAGAAAACTTTAATATAAATTTAACATAACAGGCACATAGTTATTATCTTTTACCAATCCTTTACCTTGATTTTACTTTCAATATCAGAAATATTTCTTTTTAAAATATTTCCTTTTTCATGCAAAAAGGGCTTAAAGGGGCTTGCTGACTTTCCAGAGTTAATGAGAATCTAAAATCTGTAGGCCTACTGATTAAAATATCATGAATATGGGACAGTAAACTCCTCTTGCAGTTGAAATTCATGTGTCAGTTAGAGCGGTACTGTGTCAGCTTCTCAGTAGTTTAAGTCATGCCATAAATGGGTTGGGGAGAAAGAAATATAGAAGAAGAAAACTCGATAATGTTTCATACCCCGAGACAACAAAGATGATGACACCTATTTCTGAAAAAGTCTTGTTGCTGCACTGTTTTTCACTGTAACTGTGGGAGTGCATGGGTATCTCTATTCCATCTAAAGTCTTTTTTCTAACCATGTTAAAGCTCTATTGCTTTCCATTAAATATTACTAACAATGTCAACAGTGAACAGTCAGAATCATTACATTTGTCCCTGAAGTGCAGGCCTTCATTCACTCTCATACTCACTCACTGGAATCACAGTCACCTGATAGTGACCTGCCCCTTCCATCAAAGTTCATAGAACTACTATTGATAAAGATAAAAAATGATTAGAAATAAAATAAAAAAACTTTCCACCTAGATCTTATCAACACTTTAGGTGAAAATAGCCATGCTGGTCCAGAGGAACTGTCGAGATTTTTGTACAAGTTTAGATGAAATTAAGATATTGGTTGATAATTACCATCCTGTATGTATCTTCTTCTTGGAAATATTTCTGAAAACTGCTTATGCTATCACAATTCATCAGTTTTCTCAACTCAGAAAGGACAGGTTGTGTGATGGGCATGCTCATGGAGGAGTAGCGTTGATGCATTAGTTGTACCATCACTCTATGTTCTTTATACCTGTCACCCAGAATCACTCATGAAGACCTTCATGATTTTATTGAGAAAGTTTCCATCTTTTCTTTATCATCCAAGGAGACTTAGATGGACACAATCCACTCATAAGTGATGGAGATATTAATGGGAGAGTGGTAACTTGTAGAGTGCATGCTCTCATATCACAACCTTTCTCTCTCTTCAGTACTGGAGGATATACATGTTTTTGTGCCTTAATTTGAACTTTTATTGCCATTGATTTGCCAATTAATTTACCTTCTCTCCTTCATTTCCTTAGAAGGTGGACAGTGAACCATGATGCATTGATCATTTTCCTATCATTCTGAGGTAGATTGGTGGCATTTGGTACCATATTATTTGCGTGCAACATGAAATCTTGGTTTTGATTAATTATTTTTGTGACATTAAACAATCTAATTGCTGCCTATACAAAATTACACTGTTTATGGGGTTTGACTGTTTCTTTTTCTAAGTCTTGTAAGAATCTCAAGATTCCTTTGAATTATAGATTTGATTACTTTGACTAGCTGTTTGGAGAGGGGGGGTTTATACTTGACTTGTTTGATTTTTAGAATCAACCCCCCCCCCCCTCCCTCCAACACTCGTTTTACTTTTCACAAGCAGTGGTTCATCATGGACAGATGCCAGTTTTTTTGGTGGAGTTATTCTGATTTCTAATCTCAAATTATGCTGTTACAATTATACCCTTTAAATAATGGCAACTGTAAAATTATTATGGGGATGAAATGATACAACAACATGGAGATCATAGTCATTTTAATAAGCATTTATATTTCTACATCTGCACTCAAACCAGACTCAAATTCATAAAACAACCAGACAAACAGAAAACCATTTAAAATGGGACAGCCATATTACTTTCCCCTGAAAAATATCCAAATGATAGCCATTCAACTAAGAATATGTTTCTGAAAAAGCATTGGGCAAAGAGCTTTATACTGAGACTACATTCTCATTATGAAGGATTTTGAAAAAACGGAAAACAAAAACAAATCATAACAAGTTTATCACCTAAGTGATACCCATAAAGTAAAGGTGAAAATAAAAACAAAATCAATCACAATAATTATAAGAAGAAATTTTGTCTTGATACAGAACTCTTGCATATTGGGACACAACTTTAACACCAAAATACAACAAAAATCAGGAACATGAAGAAAAAGAAACTACATAAGAAACAAATTTCAAGTTAGGCTAATACCTAAGCAATACTCATAAAGTAAATTAAAGATAAAAATGACAAAATAAAATCAACAACCACAACAATTAAGAATGAAATCGTGATATGGTATTCTTGCTGTGCATGAGTGTATCAGAATTTTAAGTCTGAATATACTGCCAAATGTCCATGCATCAACTCATCTAAAATAAGTAAAAATCCTTCATTTTGTAAGATTTCATTCAGCGGATTTCATCAACACTCGCGACAGGAAAGTGTCTGCAGAAATTAAAGCATTTTTGGTTTTTCTGCTAAGATACCAATTTTCTTAGGTTGGCATTACTATATTAGATCAGGGCTGGCTTCTCTATATGAAATATGATTTTATTTTCATCAACTGGGGAAGCTTTTCACAAGAGGAAGCATTTTTCTGTGTATCTTTTATCTTCTAAGAAAAATAAACAATGTTTTATCTTATACACCCTTTTTTATTTTGACTATCCATATACAGG